GTCTGAACTGTCTGTCCCTTGTCATTGCTTGGCACTGGGTCTCACCCAGCAGTGCAGGGTAACCTCAGGACATGTGCTGACAAGCATCCCGAATCCCCAGGGCTCTGGGCGTTTTTTGATACGTGCATGGATGGAAGAAGAACCATATATGGGGTGGGGGTGGGCAAGAGAGAAGGGGGGGCAGATGGGTTGGGCCAGGCTTAGGGGTTTGGGATATTGCAAGCATGCACTGTAGTGGTAGGTAAGGATTTTTATACTGGTTTCAATGGGGCACGGAGGGGCTGGCATCCTTTTTTTTTGCACTGGATGGAGCAGGAGGGCCCATGATGTCCCCCTGTAGGGCTGGGGGCTCTGGGGACAGCAAGGCATGGGGAAGGGGCTGCTGGCACACGCATGGACAGCAGCCAGCCTCTCATTGCCATGGGGAGGAGAAGAGTTTGCCCAGGATGTTTTGCTTTACCATCAAAATACCAATTTCTCTCCTGGGGAGAGTTTTGTTCCAGTTCTCTCGGGGTTACAGGTGACCAAGAGGGCTGCCCAGGAGCTGCCCATCACCCTGGGACAGTTCCATCCTGTGCCCCCAAAGCCCCTCTGATTTCATCTCCCCCCCACCCAGCACTTAAAAAAAAAAAAAAGAACATGACCAGACATGAGCCCCAGTATCTCTATCTAAAGAAACGATATTGGTGTACTGAAACTGCGTTGTACATAAAATTATACAAATATATATTTACTTTCTATTTTAGAAGGGGAGGGGGGGAGGGGGAAGAATAAATATTTAAGATAATTCCTTAGTACTAGGTGTCTGAAACTTCTGTGCAGCATGAGAGAGGCTGTCAGAGGTGGGGAGAGTCTAAACAGCGGGAGCAGAGCGAGTATTTTTACATTATATTGCGCTTAGGCTTCTCTGCTTCTCCATCCACCTATAAATAGACGAAAAAAAAAAATCTATATATACAAATATATATATAAAAAATATATATATCTAAGCCGCATAGCTGTTTTATTTTTGTAACCATGCCTAGTGCTGTCTGAGCAATACGGTGGTGAGGGGGACAGGGCTGGCTGGGGCTCGTGCTCCGCTTCGGCTCCATCCCGCATCCTTTGCCATCGCTGCTGCTCGCTGCCGCCTTGCTGCTTGAGTAGGAAAAGTGGGAAAAATAGGAGCGGGGTGTAGGGGCTGCACGGGGAGCCCCGGCTGCTGCCAGCTAGATTTGTACCGTGGCAAGGTGATGGTGCTTCCTCCAAGGGGCACGGCTTGTTTTTTTGTTTTGTTTTGTTTTTCTTTTTGTGGAGACGAGTGGAAATTCAGCTCGATGGGTGCTACTTGGGGGGGGGATGTTGGTTGGTGGTTGTGGCAAGGATACAGTGGGGACACGTCCTGCTTGCGGGTGTGCTGCTGCCTCACCTGTACCTGAGGACCCCTCCTTGGCGATCTGCATGCCTTGGGGAGAGGTGCGCAAAGGGGATTTGGTCCTTTGGTGCTCCTGCAGGCTGGGTGGCCTTGGTGGCATCTCCCAGCTCCTCTGTAGGACCTGGCCCTGGCACTTAAATACCTCTCTAGGGAAAGAAGAGATCCGGGACCGGTGCTGTGGGGACTGCTGTTAGGTGGGTAGGATGGATGGTGCAGCATGGGGAGACCCGCGCCCGCTGCAGGTCTGAGGGGAACATGGCAGGGGTGCTCTGGGATTTTCCTTCAAAGCAATACGGACCCGCCGCCTCCCCTGATGCTCACCGTGTCCCCCCATTTCCCTGGGGCTGCATAACCCCCGTTCACCCACCTGTGAGGTCCTGCATTTGGGTGCTGAGCTGTGCCTGGGATTGATGCCAGCAACTTTCCTTCTGTTTCCCTCCTCAGGGGCCGGGATTTGGGATTGCCCACGGGCAGAACGATGGGGTCAGGGGATGCTGCAGCCCTCGGCCGAGCTCACTCCCATGTCCTCCGTGGCTCCATGGGATGCTGTTTGGGCTCAATTCCCCTCGCAGAGGGGAACTCCCCCTTCTTGCTTTTGTCCTGCCGTGTCCCTGACCGACTGAGGCATGAATGTAATGTGTTTGGGAGGGTGAGGGTGCCCAGAAATGGCCCCTCCGCAGCGGCACCGTCTCCTCTGTAGGTGTCACCTGTATTTTCCATGATATTTCTGTCTTCTTTGTTGGGGTGGGTTTGGGGTGGGTGGGTTGGGGGGGGGGGGGGGGGGGGGGGGGCTGTTTCTAATATCGAGCCAAGATTTGTTCAGCACCAATTCTTGATATCGAAGCAAAGCATGTTTGACGGAACTAACTTGCATTTATTAGCAGTAAATACATAAGTGAGTATTTTATATGTTTAAAAAGGGGGGGGGGGAGGAAAAAAAAGAGAAGAAAGCAAAGGGACGAGCAGTCTCTGCAGCCGCTTCCTGCCAGCATCAGGGCTGGCTTGGCTTTGGGGTATCTCGTGGGGGTGGGGGTGGGCTATGGGGTGGGCAGCTCTCTCCTTTCCCCATCTCTCCTTGAATCACTTACAGAAAAAAAACAGGAGGAAAAACAACAACAAAAAAAAGAGAGATATTAAAAAAAAAAAAAAAAAAAAAGAAGAAGAGATGTTTACAAAGCACACTTTCCACAGTACTGTTAACCCTCTGGATGCCAAACAGACACACGGAGCCGCTCCTCCCCTGGGCACCATGGGACCAAGGGGTGGCCGTGGGGACAGCATCATCCTGCGTCCCTCATGGATGTTTTTAATATCTCTATTGTTTTGTACACACAACCCCGCCACATCCATCTGCTGTACAGCACGTGTTCCTGATGGGAGCTTGCTTCTTGGGGGATATATTTGCTTCCTGGGCTCTTCTCAGTGGGAGAACAATGGGCAGAGATGCAGGGAAAGTGCCCAGCTCTGCCTGGAGGGGGTTTGGGCTCTGGTGCCAGAGGCAGTGTGCCCATTCCCTGCCCTCCTGGCTGCACTTAAGGCCAGACTTCTCCTTTTATTCCCTACCTGCTGCATGGAGCAGCCCTGCCTCAGCTCTCCGTGGGGCCAGCAGAAGGCAGGCAGGGTGCTCCATCCCCAGAGGTGCCACGGGACCTTCTGTACTCTGCTCCCCTTGCGTTTCCCTTGTGTGAAGCCCTGTTGAAATCGATCCAGAAAAGCCTACATTTCTGTAGCTTCTTTGTGCCATCCTTGGGGCATTCAGAGATCACATTCGCCTGCCAGCTCCCTCAGAGCATCCCCTGCTCCCTCAGGCAGCGCAGACTTAACTGATAGGTTTATAGAGTCTCTGAAACCCTCTTAGACTTCCGTAGGTAGGTCTTAATTTCCACCTAACTCTACAGTATTCTCTCTTAAGGCAGGATTTTCTTTAGAATCCGACAGATCTCTGGTTGTGTGGGACAACTTTTCCTTTTTTTAAGAGTTCTTGCCTATTGATATCCAGACTGGACCATTCAACCTCGTCTCCATTTCTTGAATGTCAAGTATTACAGTGTATAACACACGTTAGGGTGCTCTTTGGTGCTGTTTCAATGGCAACCAGTGGAACTGACTTTTTTAAATCACAATAACAATAAAGAAAACTTTAGTACCGCTGGTTCCATAACCGTTTATCGTCGTGACTTTTTGGGTTTTTCTTCCTCTTTTTGTTGTATTTTATTTTTTTTTTTAACTAAGAGTAGCGACCCGCTGCTGAATCTCTGCAGTGTTGGTGACCGACTGGTGCAGTCCAACAGCAGCTGGGTTTGATTTGCTTCGTTTTATAATGGCACAGATGCACACAGCATAACTTAGCATTTGGTGTGAGCCCGAGCGGCAACTAGAGGGTTAATTTTTGAACTTCAGGTATGTTCTTCAAAAGCAGAAAATAATAATAATAATAAATAAAAAAAAATTTAAAAAAAAAAAAAAAAAAGAAACGAAACACTATTTTTTCAGTCAGCTTTTTTTTTTCTGTAAACGATTTAGAAATAAATCTGAGACATGATGGTGCTGTACCAAAGCCTTATACGAAACTTATTCCGCGCTCTGTATAATCTCTGTATCTGTATTGTTGCTCTCAGCCTCCGTTCTCGTGAAGGCCTCTGAAATGCCAGCAGCAGGGACCGGCCGTGGCCTCGCAGGTGCCATCTCACAACATAGGGTCCCCTATATGGACCTCAGTGGGGAGGGGAAGCCGCGATCCGTCCTCGCTCCCCCTTATGGAGCAGCAGTGGGGTCCCTCACCCCGCTCTCTCCTTTTGATTGGGTGCTAACCTGCCCTGGGCAGGGAAATGAGACCTCTGGAGCACCACGTGCTCCTCCTTGCTGTCCCCACCACTGCGCTGTGGGGTTTTACATCTTCCAGCTCAGCTCAGCCTACGAAGCACGGAGCTCTCAGAGCCATCCCACTGCTGGGCTCGGCCCTGAGCTGCGTCTGCTCCCATAGCTGTAAGCAATAAACCCGCTCTGCCAAGAAAACTTGCCCCCTCCGGCTCTTGGACTGTTGTTGGTTCTTAAGTAAATACTGCTAAGCCAACAAAGATTGGAAGAAAATAGAGTTTGAAGCCCTGCCTTACTGGAAGTAGCTGGTCGCTCGGTCTCTGCCTGCTGGGATTTTAAGGCCTGCTGGGTACTTAACGATTTATCAGTAACATTGCATGTTGATAGATTGACTTTGTTTTATTTTATTATTTCTTTCTTTTTGTTGTTGTTGTTGTTTGTTTCTTTTTCCAATGTACCCACTTAAGAAATTACGGCAGTGTTGCAATGTTACGTCCAACTAGCCATGCTGTAGGAGAATGATGGGTTTTGGAATCGATTAACTTGCTCCTCATGTAACATTACCCTGCTTCAGAAATGTTTTGTATTTTGATATAAATAAACATTTGCTAAAAAAAAATAAATATTGCGGAGTCTTATTGATGACACTGATTTGGGTTGGGGCTCTGGGGAGGAATTTGGTGTTTGCAGGGAGAAGGGGGGGATGCTTTTCCTCTTGGGCTGGGGAGAATGCCCTCTCCCTGTTGCTCCTGGAACCTCTGGGTGCCGGAGCTCTGACCCAATAATGCTGGGAGTGCTGGTGGTGCTGCCCCCCAGCAGGGTGCCCAGGATGATTGTGTCCTTATGGATGGCATACATTGCGGCTCGGAAAGGCACTGGTGTGCATACAGCCACTGATGAAAACCCAGTGAGCAGGGGTTGGGAACAGGGCAGGCAATGGGGCAGTATTTGGGATGGGAACAGGAGCTCACAGGGTGCCTCTCTTCCAGGATGGCCCTGCTGTGGAGTTTGATGCATTTTCCATGGTCAGTTGGTGTCTGTGCAAGGTGAAGACGAGGCAGGCAAATGGCCACGATGGTCCATGGGATCGTGTTCTTTAAATCCAGTTCTACTCCCTTTGCAGGGCGAAGAGCAGGTCTCCTGGTTGTTCAGGAGGATGCTGGAAACGTGGACGGGGCTGTGGGGAGGGCAGAGGGCAGAACCCCAGGCAGAGCCTCAGGAAGATCAGCAAGCAGAGCTTCAGGCACAGCGCACAGCAGCTCCTCCAGCCTCCCCACATCTCAGCAGTCCAAGCTCCCAGGTTGGCATCCACAGCTGCATCCCATCTGAGCCCCTCTCTCTGAGATATAGGGTATCCTGGGGGCTGCTGCGATCCCAACATGACCCCAGGTTGAGAACCTTCAGCCACCTGGTGCCCATAGGGTGAACAGGTCACTTCAATCCCCCACCAGGGTCACCCCATCCCCAGCCCAGACCCGTGGCCGTGGATCATTTGTTCCCTCCTGGCTTTCTGCAGGATGATGCTAACGTGGAGGCACCAACATCCGAGCAGGTGGTCCTGAAGGACAGAGTCCACATCTTCACATGGAGGTAAATCCCTGCTGGGGCACAGGGCTGGGTGCTGGGGCAGCAGTGCCCGTGGCAGCACCTGAGGGATCCCACCTGATTCTTGCAGCAAGGCCTGTTGTGTGCATCACATCTCGAGCATGCTGGAGAACGAGGAGACAGAGAACAGGCTGGAGCAAACAGAAAACGAGTGAGCTCCACTTGGCACAGCTTCTGGGGGGTTCCCCTTGCCCAGAGACCCCCACGTATGTAGCTTAGCAGGGGAGAGACCCACTCCCATTTTCCCTGCTCCCGAAGTCCCTTTATCAGTCAAGAATTAAAGAGATGAGGGCACCAAACCCAAACTCCCTGCAAGGAGAAAGGGCTGCCTGATCCCGGCAGGTGCAGCAGGCGGGGTCCTGCTCCTCTGCCCCATAACCTCTGCTTGCTGCAGCATGCCCCAGCAGCTGCTCCAGGACATGCCGGACCAAACGATGGATGCAGCGGATGCTGCAGCAAGAGCCATGACGCACATCATGACAGACACTAACATCCAGTTCAACTTCCCCAGCAAGAAGTAGGAGGTAGGAGAGCCCCTTCCCCATCACTCACATCTCCCTGCTCTCCCCAGGCAGTCCCCATCAGGACCACCCTGCCCCATCTGCCTCTCCCTCACCTCTGCCCCACAGGTCTCTGTTCTCCTCCCCTTTCCCAGCTGTGTCTGAAGCTGTTTCCACCTCTCCAGAACCGATCTGCCCCAGGAAATAAAAGGTTTCATGCACCAGCGGGGTGATGTGTGCTGTGTCCAGATGCCACATCCGTGCCCCTAATCTATGATATCCCCTCCGTGTGCCCCCCAGCCCACGTTGGGATCGCAGAAATGTCCTGGAAGGATCACACAGGTGTCCTGGCAGGGTGTTGCCCCAGGCAGCAGGCAGGGCGATGGGCAGCCTGTTGTCAAGGCAGTCCCCATAGCATTTTTATCAGCATTACCATCCAATATTCCCCAGCTGGTTTGTCTTTGCTTTCCATTTATCAATATTACCAGCTGATCCTCCGGTCCCCCTCTGCGGGTTTATTAATATTGCCCTCTGATCTGCGGGTAGCAGCCGCACTTTATATTCCAGCCCCATCCCCGGCTCCTCCAAGCCCCGACACCATGTTTAATTAGATTTTCATCTTGGCTCAGGCAAACACAAATTGAGCTCCTGGTATCTCTCTCCCGCGCACAGCCGGTGCCTGGCCGAGGCAGATGCTGTCCTCCTCTGCATTAATATTCTGGCGTCATCCAAGGCTGGCGTACAGCTCAGGGTGATGCTGTCCTGGGGGAATCATCAGTAAGAAGGTGTTGGTTTTTGTCCCCTCCCCGTTCCGTGCAGCATTCTCCAAATGTTGAGGGATGGTCTCTTCCCCACAGCAGAAATCAGAAACTGAGATTGCAGCAGGTGAAGCTCTGAACCCACCCTCACGTTGCACTGCCCCTTCCTGATGCTCTCTGCTCATTGATGCTCTCTGCTCACTTCTTCAGGGCTTGGTTTTGGGGCTGCTCTCTGTGTGGGATGGAAGGGGTTCTTGGGGCTCCCCCTGGCCTGCATTTCCAGATCAGAGGGACAGAAAACGGTTTTTGTGGAGTCTGTTGTTTCCTGCAGGCACAGGGAGAAGCGAGGATTGTTCTCCAGCAATCTCAAATCTTTTGCCAATTTGGAAGATTAAACATTTCCTCTGCATCTTGCAGATGTGCTGATGCTGTGACTCCCAGCCCCGCTGTCCAGGAGGCTCTTGATTAGTTTGGTTTTGAATTTTTTCCACTTGGATTTGCCCTTCTGGCACAGCCTTACCTTCCCCTTGCTTTCCCCAGGGATGCGAACAGAGGGATGCTCCCATGAAGGGATGAATGTGCCCACAAGAAGAGGGGCTGGACCTCCCCACCCTCCCCCCCAGCTCCCAGCCCTTCCCACAGCAGTGCTGCTGGTGTTCAGGCTCTGCTCCCCCAGGCTCTGTTCCTTCTCCTCTCTGAGCACTGCCCAGGGAGTGCATTTGCCTGAGTCAATAGAAACTTAATGTAGGTGAGCTGTGTGCCTGCAGCTCAGAGCAACGCCTCACAGGGGACCAAAACTCCCTTTTTCCTCCCCAAACTCTGCTCTCTGTGCAGGCCAGGTTTGCTTTCCACCACGCTCGGCTCTTTAGCTAAGCAGCCTGCACTCAAACTTTAAATTGACTTTTCTTAGCTAAGCCTTGTGAGGCTTTCTGGAGTCGCACTGTCTATTCTTTGGGGCTTTTAGATGCCTTTAGTGGCTTAAGATGCAACTAAGTTCCCCCTAATCTCTCATCAAAGCATGTCAGTTTTTCTGCCCTTCTGCTGCAAAGGGCTCTTAGCCCCACGCTCTCCTTCTCTGTTGTGTTTATCTCAAAGATTGGAAGGAAATGCCTCCAAAATCCTCCTCTTAAAAGCCCAGATTCACAGATGGGAGCTGCGTTTTGCTGTGCTGATGTGATGGGGGCTCAGCACTGCTCCCCATCCCCGTGTGCTCCCAATGAGGCACTAGAGGGGCAGCCCAGTCCCAACCTGATGGGAGCTGCTCCATTTGCATGTTATCAGAGAGCCCATGAATTATGCAGCTGCCATGGCAAGGCCGGAGAAATCAGCTGCAACATGCACGAGCTAAAATGTATATTTATCTTTGTGTCTCATTGATTTATTTTCCACTCCTGTTTTTCAAGCTCAGGCAGCTGCAGCGGGGATGGGAAAACAAGGCAGGCATATGGGAGGTGTCTGGAGGCAGACAGGCTGCCCTGCTAACAGCCTTCCCGTTGGGGTTCTCCACCTCCAAGCTGAAGCCACAAAGCTCAGCGCTGCCATGGGGAGAGCAGCAGCTTCTGAGCAGCTCTGGGATACTGCAGAGAAGAGAGGGATGGTGGCTGCTGGGAAGCAGGGCCTTCCCTAGGCTGGGATGTTTGGGGAGCTGAGCTCACTCTGTGGTTCTGTGCGTAACAGCTCTGTTTGAGAGCGCTATGCGCACGATGTGCGGTTTGGTTTTGGGGTGCCGGGGTGAACCTTGCTTTGTCTTCACCCCAGTTTTGGACTGACAGCAGAAGCAGAGCAGGGCTGTGCTGTTTGGAGTAAGCAGAGCTCCTCCATGGGCAGTGCTGCGTGCTGCTGAGCTCAAGGCTGTAGGACACATCAGTCCCATCCCAGCCGAAGCGCAGCCATCCATTACCACATTTTCTCTGTTGTCTCTTTGTCCGTCCATCCATCCTTTCCATTCATTAACTCCACCATCTGCTCCTCCGTTTCTCCGTTCTCCCCACCAGTACATCCCCCCTGTGCCTTCCCCCTCCTTTTCCACTGGGAAGGACCTCAGCCCAGATTCCCACCTATGACCCCATTTTGAGCTTGACATTCGGGTCTCCACCTTGAAGGAAAGCTCACAAACCTTTGGGGGCTTTGTTTCTTATTGTGATGGCTACAAAACCCTCAGGAGCCCAAGGAAGGGATGGGATCTGTGATGATGCTCCTCCTGCATCCCACCCCATCCTCCCAGCTCAGCCCCTCTCCCCTGGCAGCAGAGGTTAGCCCGGATCACACAGCCAGCCGGATACCCAGATTCCTGCCTCCCTGGGGCTAATTATGGAACAACATTAGATAAAAGTCAACATATGTTGTAAAAGGCACTATGTATCACTGCCTGACAGTTCTTAACAATGTGCTCATGTAACAGCTGTCAGGCTGAAACGCTTGAAAATGAGTAACATGTTGATTTATGTATATCAGATCTGCCCTTACGTTCACCGGCAGCGCCACGTGGAGCCTCGGTGCTGCTGGCTGTGTGCTGGGGATGGGGATGCAATGTTTCCCCGTGCTGTGTCCCTTCATGAAACCCCATCCCCATCCAGTTGAATGGGACCGGAGTTCGTCTCCATGCCAACTGCAGTAACGCATCTCAAACGCAACCCAGAAGTGCATGAGGTCTCTTTCTCCTTTCCCCTGCCCCATTTCAGAGCTCTTGGTGCTCTCTGCCTCCATCTGACCAAGCACTGGGCTGTTTCGAAGCCTTGGGGTGAGTGGGAGCACCAGACTGCTGGCAGCAGAAGTATTCAGACGTGGGGGGCACAAATGGCTGGGGGCACAAATGGCTGGGGGTAAAAAAAGCTGCACACCCCAATGCTTTTCTCCAGCTCTGCTGTCCTCTCCAATTTGGACTCAGTGTCATTCCCATTGCAGCAAAGAGTAGAGAAACCCCACTCCGGCTCCTGGCGGAGACTCATTAACAGTTCACACTAATTAGCTTTGATGGGCAATAGGGTGAGAGGTTTCCCAGTGCCACCCTCAGGGGTGCTGTCAGGTGTGGCTGTGGGCACAGGGGGCACCGACCTGACCTCTTCCTGCTGCTGTTGCGGCGCTTCATTTCGTGCCGAGCCAAAACAAGTGGGATTTTTGGCCAACACTCCTTCACAGAGGGCTGAGTTTGTGGTGAGAGCTGAGTTGTGGGGCCGTGGGCAGTGCAGTGTGAGCTGTGTGCCCCAAGCAGCCCCAGCTGCGTGCTGGTGAAGAAGGCAGCAGGTCCCAAGTTAATCCGAGGTGGTGGTGAATTTTCAGCTCTCCTTAATGTCAGGAGGCATCACTGCTTTGCTTTGCTTTCCTAGCAGGATTTGCATCACCCTCATCGCCTCTAATTTATTCCAGCTCGCATGTTTTTCCTCTGTGTGCTTGCTGGTTTTCCAGCCTTTTTGTGGGGCTGTTTTGCTGTCTTTTATTTTTTATTTTTTTGGCCAACATGAATAAAGATACGAGCTACATTTGCTCTGGCTTTTCTTTCCTTTTTTTTTTTTTTTTGGGTGCCAGGGCCTCATAACCTGTAACAAGGCTGCTAAGTTTTTCATGCTGCAGGGTAACGTGTAAATCTCCGGGAAATTGCTCATTTCATTGAGATTTGAGGATATAATGAAACCAGTTATGTCATTTCATAAAAAGTAATATGGAAAGGTCAATGTTGTTCCTCAACTATCAGCCCGCGCTTTTAATCTGCAAAACAATAATGGAAATCTCCATTTATGGAGCTGTGAGTGGGTTGGTCTGAGCCTTCACAAAACCTCACATAAGACAAAATAAACGAAGGCTCTACTGCAATTTGTTCTTTATAGACTGATATTTACCAGCCTAGCAACTACTGTACTTTCTAAGTGAATATATTTCATTTTTCTAATACATATTCATTATTTACAAACTTGTTTCTACTCCCAGACTTTTGCTGCTTTGTTTGATTTCTCTTGGGGATCCTTTTAGGATACAGATTTCATCTAAAATATAATTTTATATATATGTATTTTGGCTGTACAATTATCTCGTTCGATTGTGTTTAGTTCTAAATATAACTTTTAAACTCCCTACACGACAAAAGCCTGTTTAGTGAGGGTTTTTTTTTTTTTTTTGTGTGTGTGTGTATCTATAATGGAGCTTCCATTAACCACAGCATTTGGTACGTGGGTTGGGGCCTCCATTGACCACAACAGTTGGCACATGGGTTGGGAATTCCATTGACCACAGTGGTTGGCACTTGGGTTTGGATCTCCATTGACTACAATAGTTGGCACATGGGTTGGGAACTCCAAGTTGAATGAGTTGAGACTTCCATTGACCACAATGGTTGGCACATGGGTAGGGACCTCCATTGGCCTCAACAGTTGGCACATGGCTTGGAAACTCCAAGTTGGAATGTGTTGGGAATTCCATTGACAACAATAGTTGGCACATGGGTTGGGACCTCCATTGGCCACAACAGT